AACTCTGTTCACTTATATTCAAAGCCTTAAAATGAGCAGAACAAAAGGGGTGACGTGGAATAGACTATGTTTGAAGCCTGTCCAGATTTTATCAGCAGGAATTAGTTCCATCTCACCTAGCTGAATAGGCTCCAAATGACTCAAGATTTTTTTAAAAATTCTCCTTGGAACGAACTGATGCGTTTACTACGATATAAATCACCGCTTGACCTTTAGTTAAGCCAAGTGGTTCTATGAAACCTAAGATACCTGAACAGTTGAACATCTGAAGACTGCCGTCGGATGATGTAAGACGTTAATCTTCATATGTTTTAAAAACTTTTGGGTTTTTTAACATGAAAGCATAATAAAGAACTAAGTACAAGCCGAACTAATTCACTGAGTACTGACTTACCCAGTCCGTAAAAAGTAGCTGAATTTATGTGGGCGAAAGTGAATGTTACCAAACTCAAATGATAAGCGAGCAATTCACTAAGACGACATGGTGACAGGGTGAGCAAGTCTAGAGAGATGAGCGAAGCCAGTTTATGAGAATCACCAGCAGTGCGTAACTCAACAAACTAGGAAGATCCCCGAACTTTCGACCTCCCCAGAGACTCTCTGCAGCCGACGATTCCCGATGAGAATTACACAGCTATACAGTGCCTCTCAGCTCTTCATTTACAGGACGAAATTCCCATGCTTTGGATATTATATCCAGAACAATCAGTCGGTAAAAGTACGTTATTCATTCGTCTTCGGATTCATGATCCCAGTCGCAGCATTTCGTTAGTCATTCTATGCTACACACACTCGCCTTGTATAGTTGCTTATGTGACACGAGTGATTTACGCGTCATATGGTAAATGCTGGATGGTATGACAGCTCTTTATCACGACCTTTTTAAGGTTATAATTACTCGCCTTGTATAGTTGCTTATGTGACACAGTGATTTACGCGTCATATAGTATATGCCAGATGGTATAACAGCTCTTTATCGGGACCTTTTTAAGGTTATAATGAGTTCATCTAAGAGTTTGAGTGTAAATAGCTCCTGGCGAGTGGCAATGATCGTTACCCTCAGAAGAAAACTTAATATTAGAGGAGATCACTGGTAGAAAAATAGCAGCTTTGGCTGGTTTCTACTAAAATTTTCACTGTGAAGAGACCAAGTTTAGCTCACTGAGCAGTATTTGAAGCCAATTTTGGTCCAATCCTAGAGAAGATGCAAGTCTCATCAGTTCTACAGCTGTGCATTCGAATGTTCCAGAATAGCCTAACGGAACTTTCCTTTTGTGTAGTGATCCAAGTTAATTTGTTCAACATATTCTTATAGGTACGGGGGCAAAATGATGAGCTGACAGGTGCAGCCTTCGCTGGTTATGGTTTTCATCCCTATCTCAAGTTAATATTTTGCAAATGGTGATGCTCTTTTTCAGAGTTGTTCACATTAGTAAGGTCCTAATTCCAATCACGAAGATTTGGTGTCTGCCTCTGGGGATGACCCGATGTACTCATAAACAGATTTTGGACAACGAAAACTAAAGTGAGGAGCACAACCCCTCTGGTTTTGCCACTGAACATTAAGTCAGTACTGTAAGTAACTGAAGATCCATTTTCGAACATCGAATTTTTGTTATCGCTGGCATACTTTACATCTCACAGAAAATGCAAAATACTCAACTATTTACAGTGGATTAGTTTGGTTTTCCCTGGCCTGGGGAACCAAGAATTATCATTCGTCCTTACAGCTTTTCATTGCTCCGTGGCTTAGCTTTTGTCCAATAATATAAATAAGAAGCCATCATGAAATTTAAGGGATATGTTCTACAATGCTACTTCAGATTGGATACTCCGTGTCACATTGACCAAAAGGTAGCTCTTGCTAAGACCTTGTTCTCTCTTTCGACCGGTGGATATTGTGTCTGGTCGTTGTGCACAACCACTAACGTACCGCTACGCAGAACTATGCACTGATGATGTCACCTCGATTGGTGATGAAACGTTTGAAACCAAATTGCCCAGCTCAGCGAACAAGCCAACGACCATCTACGCTACTTGAGCTACCGGCATTCTCCTCTATAGAAAAAGGATATTGTGTCTGTTTGGTCATTAACCTTAAATCTCTGGGATAGACCCAGATTTCTCTAACTTTATTATCCAGGTGTTGATCCCAATGCACTTGTACGTGGTATTCACGGCGTGGGAGCCATGCTTAGCCCCAAATCTTAATGCACTTTACTGGACTGGAGTTTAGTGAACAGTTGTCTTAGTACTGTGCGGTTGACTGGTTCGATTAAGAAGACTGCATCTTAACGGGGTAAACTGTGTTTGTTTGTTGTATCAGCATATGCTCCGACAGATGACAGCTTTAAGAAAAAGAAAGACAGCTACTGTCCCGATTTTTGAAGGTTGTTTCGGTCTGAAAGAAAGTTGTTTCGATTCTGATAAGTGACTGAATGCCCCCAGTTAACCGACTAGGTTCTGAGGAATCTCATCGTATTGGCCATTTTGTAGCTAACGCCCACCGCACAGATAATGGTGATTGATTTCCTCCATTACCTGTGGTAAACACCATCTATATCTAGCCAGCACAAGCTCTCAGTGCAAGCGCTTGCATCTGTGACTTGGAGATCAGCGAATGTGGAATTGTTTCAACCATGTGGCAATGAGCTACTCATGGTGAACTTCGGCAAAAGACTGTCATTCATTTTTGGTGCATTACTTGACTGTGACCACTGCACTGTGCGTGTATGCATATCCATTCGCTCTCTCCCTGGAAAACGCCGGTCAATGCAAAGCCATACAGTTCACCACCCGCAAAGCGTCTCTCTGGATCAAACATATCGGGTTGGTCTGGTTGGAAGGCTCCCAGAACTCGACGGACAGAGTGGTGATTCGGATGACGATTGGAGAAAGATACTCAAAGCTTTTGAAACCGTCTGCCCTAGATCATCAACACACTCTATTATATGACAGATCTAGTCGGGATCAACAGCTTTGATGGATGCCAAGGCCAAATTACTTTGATGGCACATGATGATTAATAAATAGTCTAGAGAGTGATCAAAAGTACTGTTGAATCGCGAAAGCCCGAGAAAAAGAGAGAGTTTTTTGTAAAGGGAATCACTCGCACCCTTTCCCAGCTAACCTAATTAACCTGTCCCACAAGACCAAGGTCTTAGCGGATTTTTCTCCGAAAAGGAAAGGACATCCATTCATTCAAAGAAATATCATCTTGAACCATCCGAACCATCCATCAAGTGGCCATAGCTTCTAAGGTGTTCTCTGCATTACCCTACGAATGTTGATCCTTCATCGGCGTAGCCCGATTCACGGGAATCAAGCTAAGTTTCGCCCTGACTGGGATCACACTGATCATATGTTCACTTTGGGACAATAGCTGGAGCTGGGTGGCTCCTCTCAACGATGGACGGTGTTCGTTCTTCACTATCTCAGAGTTGATTCTGAATTCCTTCGGCTTCAGGAACTGTGGTAATGTGAAGAGTGGGCATTTTAATTCCCTTCTATTATAAAGGGACTCATACGCCTCCTCTTGTAGGTGCGTACGTGTCTACAACACATTGTGCCCTGCGTTCACCACATCCAAGGTTATCAGACTAGGATTTGCTCTGTAGCCCAATACATTTAACCCTGTAATCGATTCGCTTCTTGAGTCTTCTTTACTTGTTCCCGATATCTCAAGGATAGAAATACTCGCCCAGCGTGGTCTCATGGACATTGCGTGCGCGAAAGATGTTGCCGTTCTTAGATCAGATCATGTAGAAAGGTAAACCATGTTAAATAACCCAAGTAATTTTGGTACACCATTTGGTATTCCCTTCCCACCTTCAATGTGTTACTCTAAGATTGGGTGAGATCACTACCAGATCTCGTGTCTGCACGTGAATCGGTCCGTTTGGTAGATGAGTTCTGCTAACTGAGCAGCTAAGTGGGCCTCGGTGGACGGCAGAAAAACGAAATCACTTCCCGAAGTGGGAAGGCCAGGGCACGGGCCTACTGACCTATGAGGTTGGCGGGACCGTCGTAACAAGTCAACAAAACCTCACGTTTTCTGAGTCTTTACAGCAGGCACCGACTGATTTTGATCAACAACGCTTACATGCGTAGTGATCTAGAATGATGAGTTGAAGACAGCGTTATGTCTGGTTGTAAACAAGCGCTTCGTGATTAATGAAACTAACTTCCTATCGGCCGAAATCAAGTTAGGGTTCACATCACTAAGTAATGCTCATTACCAACCATTTTATGTAAATCTATGTAATGCACATTTAAGGGATGTAGAGCGAACCCAGTCTTACCAGGTCACATCACAGGAGACCTATTCCACCATTTTCTCCCTGTCTTCGTTCCCTGTGGCTTACATCATTATATGAAATAAATTCATCCCTAAGCTCTCTGTTCTCATCGCTTTGTTCCAATTGAGCAAGGCTTTAGTTGTTTACCGGTTGGCCCAAGTTCAGCGGTCACAACATAATAAGGTAGCGTACAGTTAAGAGTTTGTCAGCATATTCTCTAGAAAAATGTGTTATGTAAAGCCAAAAGCTAGTTATTTTCTACAGCTAGAAGCTGGAAACCTCGACGATTAGATGAAGAGGGCAGCGTTATGAAATTTAGACAATAAAGGCTCACGTGATGTTTTGTGATATGTGAAGTTGAGGGCTTTTTCACCGTTGGTAGGTGAATATTTATAGTGTTTTGCTTAAGTGTCCGATTTCGGCTTGCAGTCGAAGATGAAATCCCCTGAACTTACCAACAATGCTATCTGCTCGAGAAGGATTTTGTACAAAGATTTGTTATTGATAGCAAAAAATGTTTTCCCACTTGTATCTCCCGTAGTAACGCTCTGGGATAATGGTATGGTATGTATTATAGAATACACCCGTCACTCACGCACACACACCGCAGGTGTCCACGTGAAATGACAGCAGACAAGTGGCCTGAGGTGTTCAAGTACACTATTCTACTTTGTCTGAAACAAATTCCTCTGGCTGCAGAAACCGAATTTAGCTGAGCGTCTGTAAACTAGTGGTTCGATTGGAGAGACATTTTTCGATGGCACTTTGGCAATAGGATTGCCACTGTAAGGTGGTCCATCATGATGGTTTCGGTGTCTCTTCCCAAACTTCCAAAGAGCGTTAATCGACGTAGGAGAGACGGACAGTTGGAGTCTTTAGTGTGAACTCAAGCTCACACAACGCAAATGAACGGACAGGGATTGATCAGTCGGCCTCTTGGTTGTCAGACGGATGTCCTGTCAATTAAACCGCCGTGAACGGTGACTTACGTCATATACGGAGTCTTTAGTGTGAACTCAAGCTCACACGACGCAAATGAACAGACAGGGATTGATCAGTCGGCCTCTTGATTGTCAGACGGATGCCCTGTCAACTAAACTGCCGTGAACGGTGACCTACGTCATACATGTGCAATTCAGTACAAGCTAATGTCTAATGGATCCACGTTTCTCGTATGTCAGCGCATCTGGTAAGCCCCTTGTGAATCGTTATCATCGAGAGTGTTTGGCAAACAGGCTGACAACTAACAAATCTATGCAATTCTGCAAATTCGCCAAGACAAGATCATATGAGCAAAATGTTCACATGAGCGACAGTGATTCTTCAGAGCCCAACTGGCTGACTGACTGGATGATGAATGGACCCAAACAGGTGATAAACCGTAGGGATCGAGCACTGCACTCTAGTGTGACAATCGTGCACTGTTACTATGACTGAGCCAGTAATGCTGTGATTAGCACAGGGGAAGCTGAAAATAACACATACGAAGGGCTTGCGCGCCATAGTGACTCTATTTATTGTCGAATCTAACTCGACCTCGCGATAATTTTCTCATTATGCTGTGATTAGCACAGGGGAAGCTGAAAACGGCAAATACGAAGGGCTTGCGCGCCATAGTGGCTCTATTTATTGTCAAATCTAACTCGAACTCGCGATAATTTTCTCATTCATCTGCTTACTCCGTCCATGTACTTTTGCTCTCCACTTCAATCGCTCGTCTGCACCCGCCATCCACCCCGCCGAAAAGACCGTCCGTCCACCCACGTTGGTTTGCTGGCGTGTGAGTGTGCGAAAGTACACAGCTGACCTACGTACCCATTCGTGTTCATGCCCCGTTTCATGAACCACTCCTGACATGTTTGTCATTTGTTTGTGATCGCACCGTCAGCCAGAATCGCAGGCTTTTCTTTGGAGCGGACGACCGCAACCTCTGTATTGTTGACATGTTTGTCATTTGTTTGTGATCGCACCGTCAGCCAGAATCGCAAGACTGTCCTTGGAGCGGACGACCGCAACCCTCTGTATTGAGCTATCATTCCGCTCACCGTTGTTTGGCTAGTGGACCCTGACACTGCACCGCGTCGCTCAGTGACATACTTGTGCAACGGTTGACGCCACGAACATCGACGTTTGATGGACATTGTATAACTTTGTTTACCTTTGTATTAATAATATAGGGGACTTTCGAACCAAATTCTTAGTTTTGATCTCTGAGATTGTCAACATCAACATCAAGATTTGTGAAACACTCACTGGCATGTAAGATCAAAACTCTCAGATCAATGAGCCTACTTTGTTCACACCTACTCAGTCTCTTTTATTATTATATGACGGATCAATGGTTCAGGCGGACTCAACGGGTCAACACCAGTCGTCTTCACATTGTTCAAACGATAAGTGAAGATTGGGTAAAAAAAATCTACGCTATTTAGAGTTCTAGTTGGTGGAATGACACAACTGATGGGAATACCAGTAATCTACGTGAACAATTGTAGAATACAGACCAAGAATTGGTTAGTTATCAAGGCGGTTACAAAGAACTGCCACATATCAATACAAACCAATACATGGTGTACACCTTATTTGTCCATCCGTAATCAAACATGCTTCGTTTACTTACCATCACCAAAAAGTCACGCGCTTGCCAGGCAGGGATATCGATAAGGAAGGTTTTCTCGGAACTGGTGCTAAGTTCCGCCATCATGGATTTCGCTGAAGCCGAACCTGAACTCCAGGTCTTCACTTTTGCCGTTCCTTCAAAACTGTTCACCAGCGTGGTGAATTTCAGCAATTCTGCAGAGGAGCGAGATACTCACAAGTAAGAATAAGTTATATTATAAAAGTTTCCAGTTGATACTAAGCCGCCTTGTAGCAAACATAGATCCCCAGAGAATCAGTTTTTTTTCGTGAACCGAAGGGAAGTTCTGGTTTCCGTTTGCTTTCCACCTAATACCGATTGACCCAGCCAGTGATCGACTGTAAACTCATTTACTCATAAATGAGAGCTTTTCAAACAGTCCTCTATTGCTCACATCACGCTAACTTATTTCAAGGACGCACGACTTTGTGAATTGGCAGTGTTACTAAAACCGACGCACTGCAAATACCCTAGTGAAAATCGCACTTCGAAATGTATTAACGTGACCTACAACATTTGTGAGCTTCACTGGTAATCGGCTAAATTGGTACTGTTTTCTTCTCCGTGCCTTCTTCTCTCCGTGCCTATTTGGAGCTATTCGTTGAGATAACCAGCGAGAAAAGACTGATCCCGTTGTCTTAAGACCGATTACAAAAACATAGCGGTTCAATACATGAAAGAGCAGAAAGGTATCGCTGTAGTAAGTGGGATTAGATTTGCTCCAGTTAAAGTGAGGATTCTCTTCTCCGTGCCTTCTTCTCTCCGTGCCTATTTGGAGCTATTCGTTGAGATAACCAGCGAGAAAAGACTGATCCCGTTGTCTTAAGACCGATTACAAAAACATAGCGGTTCAATACATGAAAGAGCAGAAAGGTATCGCTGTAGTAAGTGGGATTAGATTTGCTCCAGTTAAAGTGAGGATTCACTGTTTCTTGATTCACGATGATATAGGTTACACCCGTTGCATCAGACTGATTAACGCAACCACGCTTCATTCGGAATGATCCTTTAAGTTTACTATACGAGATAACGGTCTTAAGATCTCATAGCTGTCCTCTAAAAAAATCATAAACGAACGAAGTGATGTGCTTACTTTCAGGTTGATTATGAATAATGTTCATCCGACGCCACTTCTCAACTTGAGTGAGATATTCATATAGCCCAAGGCCGAAACTGTGTACTTTTGGGTGCATACTAACTGAGTAGGTTCCTGGTGTCGCGTAGTGATTCCAGTAGGTCTCAACGTACGGTATCCCAAATCGGTTGGCCAGAGAAAGCAAAGCTTGTGAAAGAGCGCGGACATTCGGACCGAACAAGGCCACAATGCCGTTTGTCATTAGCTTGCATGCTGTGTGATCACCGGTAGGAAAAGCGAAAGGAACATGGGTTAATTGGAAAGATGTCTTACTGCATAATTAATGGAACACACCACCTGGAAATGTGTTGCATGCATTTCGCTTGTTGTAGAATCACTGCGAACCAACAGAGACATAGGTTTCCTTCTGGAAATTACCATAGATATATTCAGATTTTACATAAGTGCCTACCAAAATGCTTATGTTTGCAAGGTAGAAAGTTGTGGACAATAGGTTCTTCGATTTAGACATGAGGAAAAAGCAGAGTTGACTCCAACTCTGGTATCTAACTTATTCTAATATGAATCTAATATGGTGATTCCTCGAATCGTTCAAATGCTGACTGATCTCCACCTTTTTTGCATCGCCAAGGTCCCTGTATCCACCGTCTACTTTGCCACAGTGTTCGCTCCGTCCAAAGTGTGTATAAGTAACACACTCGCTGGTGCTCTGCCTGCTGGACCTGATCCAAATTGTCAGGTCATGACACCCGTGTAATCGCATCGTCAATCAGGGTCACGAGAGTGGTCTTGGAAAGGACGACCGCAACCCACCCCACTCAGACGGAATTCCATTCACGGTTATCTGATATGCGGACTTTGGTGTCAGTGCTGAGCAAGCCACTGACGCACTTGGGCACTTGTTGTCGCCACTAATGTGGATATTTGAATTTCGTGGTGTACTTTCGCTTACTTGTGGAAAAATAGTACCCAAGATTTTCAACTCCAAATCCTGTTTTTGATATTCGCAATCATCAAACCCACTCATGACTCAAAGTTTCGTATCGGGAACCCATCACTAGTGACCTTCACAATCGAACTTTCGCTGCTAACTGTCATCCAGATGGTATTCCTTTTGTCCCTCATTAACACGTTCCGTTAGTTTAGGTTCATGAAAATTGAGAAGTAATGGTGCCTTCCGTTTTCATGGCAACGACTGCTTCTGATGTTGAATTCAATTGCCTCTGCGGGGAATTTCGCTCCAAAGATGACAGACACATCTTGGGGGAAGATGAAGAGGCAATTGATGGAAGATAAATAGGTTTGTATTTCAGTTCAGGTGATGGAAATCCTTTCCGGAAAACAGTGCCGCTTCGCTGTCATCCTTTTGGTACACAACTGCATTTTCAGGACGGACAGCGTGAACAACAAACCAACAACAAACCATTTCAACAAATTATCAATCATTTACATCGAATATGTATGGCTGACTGAATAACAGGACCACAAAAAGGGTTACAGTCGCCCGACGAAGGATTAAATGTACTAGTGAAAGAGAAAAGTACCATATGGCCTAACTAACATCTACCAGGTTGCATTTAATTTGTAACCGGTAGTTGCTGGTAGGATTTCCAGCCCGTAGTTCAACCGAATGTGTGTAAACACACTCGGATTTTTACTGACTTATATGGAGCTATGATAATTGGTGGAATTATAGAGACAAACAACACTCTCGTCGAAGGGAAAAAAGAATTTCGCAGACGTTAGTTGACTCAACTTTCAAATGCATTTTGTTCGTTACAACTAATCATTTGATGGTCTTGTCCTATCAACACGGACACGAATATGTCCACCTCCGAAATTGGGGACAAATCGCCTCATCGGGATCGACCTCAATTTGTTAGTTCGACCATATGTTAATGTGGATTATGCATGTCCGCTTGTGTGTGTGTACGTGGGCGTGCACCTGAGTCGACCAATATCCCAGTGCAGACGTGAATGTTCATTTACATAAGGCTCCCCATTTTTCGTTGTCCTCTACACAGTCCCATGGGACATACCCATTGGGTCCTTGCTCCAGCCTGCTAAGGGGTGGCCCAAGAAAGGTGGATTGCGGATCTCGAGCGAAACTCCACTTTCGGTCGGTTAAGTTCGTGAAAATTCACACAGACACTGCTTGTCAACATATGCCCCATCTGCAACATTTCGTCTGCCACCAGTCCGAGAATCCAACTGGCATTTTGTTTCCAAATATAAACGACAATATAGATAATAAAATATACAGTTGCACTAGTAGTTTTTAGTAGCCGTTTGATTTTTATTAAAAGATAACTGAACATAATGAAATTTTTCCACTTTGTTTCACAATCCGACCTCGTCTTTGGTTCAATGAGATCACTGATGGGGTGCAGATACTCCAAGTATATTTATCAAAGCCCTTTTTATCGAATGCCCAGGTGACGTTTTCGGTCAGTGTCATCCCGAGAAGATAGAATACTAACCATGAAATAAAAGGTCTTAGATATAGTTGTTGAGGAGAACAGAATGAGTGCGAACTATTTGCATATCTCTACGAAAAGAAAGTAGCTTATCTGGTACCCATTCACCATGGACATTCGTCAATTTGAACCAGGAGTTAAACGAACAACATAATACGTTCGTCAGGTTGTTGCTGCTTCAATAAATCTGGTAATGTGGATGGTGATGAAGATGTTGACATTACGATGATGAAGTTGAGGAAGGTGAAACGACTAAGGATCGCGTCTGTGGTCAGTACGAGAATCAAAAGAAGATTATAGTGTCACTTGTGTTGTAAGCTTAATGCGCGCTCTTACGGCTCAACTGCTGTTGTAGCCAGAGGGTCCGGGTAGCTCAGCGACCCCTTAATCCATATTGGAGGACACTCATGCAGTATCCACTGAGTATTATTTGCTAGGCTAGGCGGCGGATGAAAGTTTAACATATGCAGTTATGCAGTCTCCTATCCATCCAGTTTATCAGGGGTGGGTAGTAGAACCAATGTGACCATTTGTTCTTTATTCTTAGGGCTACTGTAGTGGCATAAAGCCTGTCCCCAACTTGAATCAAAGTCTTTAGTTGTGGAGTCATTCGTCCTCCTGTATAGGTACTGGGAAGTGACCAACCTCAAACAGCTGCTCACAACCTCCAATTCGCGCAACCATTATTGTCCGTTATCCCTCACAACCCAGCCGCTCATGTGCACACGGTTGTTTTATTCCTGAAGCCCGAAAACTTGATCTAATCACATTGTCACAACCCAGAGGCTACCAGCTGTGATTCTTCAAATGCGCCATTTCGTTACGCTGGTAATTCACAGGTGTCAGCTTTCGAGATAAAGGCTTTTTGTTTGATTGGATACTTGTTATGTGCCATCTCTATGTTGCGCGTCTGTCCTATTCCATAAGGACCTCGAAACGTCAGAATGACAGCCACTTTACTTATGCACCGCTAATTTTTACACACTAAAAAATCGTGGCTCTCATTCGGCACCGTAAACGTGGAAAATGATCGCACCATGAAAAGTTTAGATACATTGCTAATTTATGGTATTCTGAGTTTGGCTCAACTCGCATTGATAATTCTGAAGTTCTTCCAACTGTATACTGACAACCAGTTGTTCTCTGCCAGTGGTGGATTCATAACATATTAAACGCCCCGGTGCCTGTCTTCTCTCTTTTATCTAATCATCCTCAGTGTAAAAATGACCACGAGCCATCAGCAACAGAGAGCAAAGTTCAACGCTGGCCGGCTATAAAGTTCAGCTCATACCCTTTCCCATTCTAGAATATTGACTATCTTTCCGGGTAAATGTGCAGTTTAACCAAACATATCAAAATCCGCCTCGTTATGCTCTGTTTGATTCCGAAACGGACTCCTCAGAGGACAGGAAAACCTGTACATGTGGCTCTAAAAACGCTGTTGTTGTTTTTGAGTGCGCACATACAAACCACTTTAAATGAGAGCAATTGCTGTCATTTCTGCACACAAGGCAGATCCCATTAGGATCGCTGGACGGCCTAATTTGGATAGGAGACCAGAAACCTGAAGAAATACGGGTCGCTGGTTTGGCACGAGATGCAGCAGGTTTCTTCAGCTGATGTGAAAGAGCGGGTCTGGAGTATAATTTATTTATCACCTGATTAAACATCATACTGAAAATATTATATAAGGCAAAAAAAACAGCGTTAAAATCATTGCGAAGAATACTCTGAAAGCTAATTGGTTTTCGTTTTTTGGCACATCTGTTTCATTCAATCCTTTCAAACCTGTCGCGGTTTGAAAGTTTGCTAGTTTATGAAATACGGACGTATCTTTTCGCCTTGCAACATTATCGAGAAGTACAATGGTCGCACCTCTCATCAGCAACAAACATGTCGCCAGCTGAAAACAATTTTTCACCTCGATCTCATGCAATCCTTTAATTCCGTACACTTGCCGGTTCTTCTGAATTACCTCGGCTGATGTTGAATGCTCCTGAAATTTGTAAACTATCCATGCTCTCTACTTTCTTAATTATATTCGTGGATGAGTATATAACGAACAGCCTGGAGGTTTTCCCGCAATTAATAAGGTCCATTTCGACTGCACGCTTCCATCCTTTGTGATTTTGTTGCGAAAACTGCTAACTGGCGCACACACCAAGGCAAATCGATGGAGGAAATAGAGCATCAAGATTGAAATCTACTTTTGTTGTTCATTGTGAATTTTTGTAGTACAAGGAGTATCGTCCGGTTTTTAATCTTAAGGTGTCCTCGAGAACCCTCGGTGAGGAAAACATGTGTTTTGATCGACCATTTACCTGGTCAGACAAGACAAGACAACTTTACAGATGAAGTGGCGCACGCGTAATCAAGAGAGGGTGACAGCCTCCAAGATTCGTCACTCGCTTTGTCAGGAAAGTTAAAAATGGGTGTATGAGCTGTATTAATTTATGGCTTCTGGCCTTGGACCGCTCAACTCAACATTGTCATTACCGCAACCCGCAACAGAAGCGTTAACGGGCTGCAGTGTCAACGAGGAAGTCTGTACATAAACAAGCACTTGTAAGCAAGCCAGAATCACTAGAGAAGGTGAAGATCATTGAATCAAAGTGGTACGGTTACCATACAATTAAATTCAAGTATATCCCGATGGGTCATAGAGACGCGAAGCCCAGCGTACTACAGTGAGATTCGGTCTTTCCGCAACAGCCATACTGTGAAAACGAAAATAACACGAAGGCTTACGAGCTTTACTGCGAGTGTCACCGCGAGGATATCAGATAAAGGTTTCACAGACTTTAAACATCGAAGTTTGCCTACTGACGATCATTTTCATTGCCGGGATTATGCTTGCTCCAACTCCACTAGCACCCTTTCCTAGGAAATCTCCATCCAAAAAATTTACTTTGCCATCCCAACAGATCTTTGCCTTGGAAAATGCAGCTTTCAAGCTATGTCACCTCAAAATTCACAGCCGAAATTTTTTCCAGTCGGACAAACCCTTCCTTATTATGACATGATATGAGGAAAATTAGTTGGAATATGGTCCAATGTGCGGGATGATTCTGTCAGTGGTGGGTTCCAGAGGAATGGTACCAAGATAAAATCAACCGCCGATTCCTTTTGCAACCCTATCGGAGTGTATGGTGAGAAAAACGGTATCTGGCGGCCGGAGCTAAAAGCGTGTGTGGCAATAGAAGCCGACATTCGTAAAATAAAATTGTCAATTTCCTCCCAGTCACCCGAAGGAATCTCCTCTGAAATCCGGTCCTCATGTATTAGTCTAAGTGTGTCATCAGTACCCTAATCTTCTTTGACGAATCACTGCCAAAAATGCTTGACTTGGAACTGGACCTAGATAAGTCGACTGTCGGTCGGGTGACGCCAGCAACTGCCCTTCAGTAGACCACATCTGAAGCCGAAAGTTTGTAATATGCCTTAGAAACAAGATTTATCGGTATATATGAAGCCAGTATTGTAGATGCCTTTATTCAGAATAAGGTTACAATGCTTAAGGCAAACGGAGTATTCAGTGATTACAGAATTCGGAACACACGAAAACAGCAGACAGCGCTGTAGTGCAGCACTATACTTTTGATGCACTTCACTGCACCTTAGACGACAGTGAAAGTAATATACACAAATAACAGGTTAGCAAGCGATTTCCCATTTACGCCTACCTGTTCAGTGCTGAGTTCGATGTTGCCATTTAGATGGCTGAAAAAACAGCGAGTGCCTTCTTCCTCAGCGGACCCAGATACTTAGCATCGTATCTGGAATAAATAGCTTACAAGTATCTCTAAGTAGGTTGCGAACTGTCTGCTGTAGCAGAATGGAGTGAAATTCACAAAAAGAAACTCAATCGACCTGTCAGTACCCAGATCGTTAAGAACCATAGTGTGAGTTCCTAGTAATTCCAATGCGTGGTGAGTAGCTTAAGCTAGTGCAGTGGCCGTCTTCACTAATTTGGTAAGAAATGTGCACGTTTCAGCTGCTTCTCTTCAGCTTTTCTGGTGAAATGTCATACCTATTTGCAACGTTAGGGCAAAAAGCTTCCAAACGCAGCCTGATATCGACCCTTTTAACCATTTAACCGAACGTTTGGAACATCAGCACATATTCTTGGGCGCAAAATAAAGCTGGCTACAGGGAATCTTCAATAGGTTTACACCAACTCAAGCCCCATAGGAATGCCCTGGGATTACAGCATGCAAGGCATGGAATGATGTAACCAAAGGTAGAAGATCGGAAAAATGCTCCAGTCTAGTTTACCTGGATAGCAGTTTGTATAGACACGACTGATGAAGAGCAGCGAGAAAAAGGTCATGTAAAACGGAAATGACATTTAACTGATCGCTAGTTAACAGTGATACAGCAATACAAACTTTATAGTGGTAGATATAACTTCATGGCTATCACCATGCGATCACCTGGTAAAATGGCACCCTTCAAATGCAAGCAGAAAACGTTCAACTGTACCTTGTTGTGTGGCCAGAAACACATTATCCCTTGACACTACTTCAATGATAGGCTCCAGCTGATGAGTACGCAGGTTGACACTTTGAGCAAGCACTTGATTTGCAGAATCCACACTTGTCCGAAAGGCTGCCTCCATGTCTTCATCACCCTGAGCCAAAATTACACCTAAGAAAGGTAAAAAGTATTGTAAAGGTGTTACTGTGACAGGCTTTCAAGAACTTGAGAAAAACAACCAATCCGTGGTTTGTTTTGCTCCATGGCTTACATCTGTAACAAAAAATAAGCCAGAAAATCCTCTTGTGACCGTTTTTTACTTGAGAGTATACCATTAATAACATCATAGCTTCCGGTAGCAACTGTGTAAGTGACGAGTTTTCACGTTACGCGCTATGCTGAAATGCGCAAAATTTTACTCAGCTATCAGGCCGACTGAAAAACAAATAGTCATATTAGCTGGAGTCGGTGGGTTTTTTCTGTTGTGTTAGAAACAACCTCCAAGCTTCAATCATTAGTAGCATATTGTGACACCGGATTTTACTCATGTCAGTCGCATATGCCGATTGTGGAATGACGTGCTTTGGCAGGTAGGTGATGCGCTCACTACTGACTCACACCCGGCTGTTTGGAAAACAGAGAAAGTTGAAACAACTGCGCGAAACACTAATTAGGATAGTAGTTTCTGTGTTATGTTTGAAATCCGTTCAAGCAGTTAGACCTGACTACATGAGGATAGGCATCCTGTGTACGAAAGTGGCCAACTCGGTTCTGTGGTATAACACCTCTTTTTTACAAGCTGTTATCTCTTCGGTATCTTTTGATTCACTGGTAAAATGAGCCTTACTAGCCCAATCATGTTACTCACAAAATGAAAAATAGTCGAATTGGCCTTTCTCGGGAGTCATCAGATAGACATAATCGTCGAGGTTCCATCAAACTTACATTCTACAAGTACGTAATTGACCGAGCACACTTCTGTGAAAACTACGTTAGTAGCTACGCGAAAATTGTCTGGGTCCCAGCTGAATTTATCCTTTGTGATGCTCTCCACAGAATGTGCTCCACAGAGGCAGCCTCTTGTTTCAGTGAGTAAGATATGCGAAATAGCACAGCATAGCTGATTGGCGGAGCAAACTAAAACATCAACACATTTAGTTAATCTTTTGCTGCCATCAGTGTAATTTGCAGATTAGCGTAGTTCGCCAGTTACGTACCAGTAGATGTTCAAGACTGATGGAAAATCAGAACCCACGCCTGTCTGACGTTCTCACTTTGGCCGACGCTGCTAGTCAGAGTCCTTCAATAACCATATAACTGGTGGGTTCAGTCAAGAAACGATAAGGCAATATCTCAAATATCGTACTAAGTTAAACATAAGGCGGTCTATATACAACACCTTCAGTTGAAAACTATCATGAGCGGGTAAATCATTTGAGTCCCAGTGGTTGTCCTTCATCAACATTTTAAGATGTTGCGTTCGAGAAAATAAACAACACCTTTGCTTTCCTCTTCAAAGTAACAAAACATCCATGAGCAACACATTTTGAAGTTGTTTGAAATTACATCCGGCATTTTTATTAGTGACTAGTTCCGCTGAGGAAACTTGACACTGTGTAACAGGGCGATCAGTTAACAAACGGGTGCTTCAGAGCAAACCAACCAAACCGAATCAACCGAGCATTTTTGCCGAAAGCTGAAAACTGTCATCGTTCAATCAGCCGTAAGAAGTTTCTTGAACTAACATATTCCACCCAGATCGGCTTCATCCCCTAAACTAGCTGGCCACACTGAAGTTTGCCTCGCTGTCACCGTGACAGCAAGTAGAGTCAAGTTTCCAGTAAGCTGACAAATTTTGTTTACCAGTTGCACTGAACCAATTTGTCGACTAATTTGTAAACAGTTAACAACGTGCTAACAAACAGAACGAAACCATCAGTCGAAAACAAGTGAAAACGCATGGGAGATTATATTTGCCTGAGACCATGTACCGTGTACTTTGTTCTTTTTTATTTTTCCTCAGGCAGAGCAACGTTAGAAATAGGAGTGCACACAATGTTTATGACATCCTGGTGGACTTCCGTCAAATCAGCAGTTAATCACCGCCATTGTCATCGTCGTCACCAGCATCTCAAAGTCCCTCCCTTAGCGGATGATGTGCTATCAACTAAGCTGCTGAAAATGTTTGCTGCACATTCCAAATTCTCGTCCACTACTACTCAACAAGTTCTACTAAAGCGGTTTGAGCATCTCGACGTCTGGTCCGCTAAGGAATCCACATAATGAACTCATCAATGCTACTGATATCTACCAACCCCTTGAGTGGCCGATGAATTGTGTGGAGTGCAACTGTATAATCGCGACGGAAATAAGGTACCCGTTTAGCTTGATCGATAGAGCATATATACGGTAAGCGATACGTCTGGTTTTCGAGACTACATCAAGCACGTCAGCTGCTTCAGGCTTCCAATTTCACTACTCATTTTATACAGTACCAGTAAAACTAATGTAACTGACTTGGTACTTTTTACCCCGGACTTCGATGCTCCAAGCTAAGCTCAACTTCAAGATTTGTTCTGTTGTTTCATGGGTTTGTTTTTGAACTCATTTAGGAAACATGTCTGAATGTTCACTTGTCTCTTATTTGTTCCATTTGCGCGTGAGTTCCTTAGGGGACTACAAGTCTTGCACAATTGTCATTGTCAGCATTGGATTTGTCATTCAGGGTCCTGATTGGACCCGGCATTTCTGCAGTCTAGGGGAATCCAGTGGAATAGCATGCCCAAAATCCTCACAAAGCAAAGCAGTAATGCTCAGTGTCATCCCACCAGGCCTGCTTATAATTTAAGAGAAAGTCTCCAAGGAAAACATTTTTAGCTAAAAGATTGAGTCCGCATGACCACCAGGTGTTTATTTGTACATGTTACACCATATGCTCGAACCACGTGCCGTGGTAGAGCCGAATGATTTACTTGATGTCATAGGTTGTCTGGTTTATGAATCCTTTTTATTTCTTCTACGGCTTGGGACAATTTGTTCGTATGACAAAAGCTAGTGAATCGAGATGCATTGTTCAGGAAAACAGTAACCATGTGTCGGTTTTCGTTACGTTCGACTCAACTACTTGTAAGATGTCAGTATTTCATTAGACATTATAGACTAGTGAGCTTCGAGAGATCTCATGGAGTAGGAATTTCTGTGGATGATAAAAGTATTGAGTACTGAACAGCCTAATACATTTTGAGACAGGTGGTTTACTGATCAACGGAACCTTCCGTTTAACTTAAGCTCACGCTGCTCGACCTAAACTCGTTGTTCTAAACGGTCCTCAGTAAATGGGTCGCTCTCGAAAAATGTCAGTACATGTATTTCTTAAACTCGTCATCTTGTCGAACACGTGACATCAAAAGCTTTTGGAATAATCTGGAATAACCTTCCAGATCTCTCGCATAATCTTTTAGCACCAATGCAAAATGCGTGTTTTTGTTGATGAAATCACTTCCAGTGGGGAATTCTTTCGGATTTGACCACCATTTATATTATTATCAACCATACTCGCTGGAATGCGCAAAGGATTTCCATATTCTTGAGCTTCCAGCTACCTCAAAACATTCTCTCAAGTAGAACATAAGGCTGACGGAAACTTGGGGACTGCGCCTACCAGATGACCCCAAGAAGGGCGAAAACGGTTATGGGCTTTCAAAGACTTTCCAGCAGCCTGTGCGAACTCTTTCATCCTGTTGCATCTAGCGGTTCATTATTGCAGTGTGGCATTTACATTAGGACTTGCGAACTAGGGGTATTGCCACTGTTCAAAACAGTATTGTACATATCTTTGAAACCAGCTCTAAGCAGGTGAAAGTGTTCAAGCCTAATTGCGGGTCTTATTCCACACATCGGGTGAATAAATAAACGGATGGTAAAATTGGTTATCCGATGAGCGATGAAACACGTGACATGATGAAAAAATTAACGTCAATGGAGCTGCTGTGTCGCAAAAACAATGAAACTCCTGAGTCACATGAAACCGAATTGATTCTTGCAAAATACACGGAGTTATACTACTTCTTTTGTAGTGCAGACGATTCTGGATGGCTGGCAAATTTGACTGTTTATCACGATAATCCCTTATGGATAAGGACGAATCTTTCTTTGATCGATTCGCCCGATAAATGCTTGATAATCAGGCCTTTTCTTCGTTAATCCGCTGTCAATAGCGGCGTTCAACCGACAAGACAGACGAGAACACCACATATAGATTTCGGTTTGGAGGACAAAATCGGACAGTCGCTTGATAGGATCTATCCACTGAAATCATTCACACGAACGTAACACGTGGTGTGATAGCGGTGAAGATGGCAGCGTTTTTAAGCGCACCATATAGATTTCGGTTTGGAGGACAAAATCGCACAGTCGCTTGATAGGATCTATCCACTGGAATCATTCACACGAACGTCACACGTGGTGCGATAGCGGTGAAGATGGTAGCGTTTTTAAGCGCACAAAAACAAAGCGGATGAAAACTGGTCAGACTTAGAGAAAGTTTCAGCGTTCATGTGAATCGCAACTTATGAGGACGAAGTTTTGACTAAGTGATGAAGATTTTTGTATGCACGGGATTCAGCCACTTTACTGAAACAAAATTCGATTTCGAACTAAACTGACTGGCTTGATGGCAGTTTATGANGTTCTTCGTATTTTCAAAGGGTGTGAGTGAGCTGAACAAAACCTCAGAATGAAAACCGATTTCAAATGTGTCGAACCGGGAAGGATCGCGTTTGTTGTTACGAATTAAGGCCAAAGCAAGGTTTTATGGCACTGTATGTAGCTTCGTTTGAGTGCTTTTCAGGTTTCGCCTTTTTCAACGGCTTACATACTAGCGAGAAATACACTCATTTGCAAATCAATTTGGTTTTCACGGAAGACTCAGTTGAATCTCTCATTTATGATATCCTCCAAATGAATGTTCTGCACACAGGCCGCCTTATGATTCAGTTGGTACGATATTCGAGATATCGCAGTATATTTTTATGACAGAAGCCACTCACAAGTTTGCTGTCGTGGGCTGTCAAAGAGTTTCCAGCAACTTTGTGAGTAGTTTCTTTCATATCTCACGAAGGGTTATGCCATTCATTGCCTACTTCAATAAAATGATTCATTTTTAAACACGG